GATGTCCCTAAGTCTCAGTATAGCTTGCTCAGCATGTCATAAACATTTGAAGTTCAGTGTTCATAACCAGTTCAAGAATACATGTCTCATTCTAGTCCTATACAGTATTCCAGTATTATGTATTGCAGTATGATTCTCAGTTCCTGATTTTAAATCCCTGAATGTTGAACACCTATATTTGGGCCTGAGGTCGCAGCTAATGCTTTATGCATCTTTGGGCCTGAGGCCGCAAATTATGCTTTATGCATTTTGGACCTGAGGTCGCAGTTATGTATACGTATACTTGGGCCCGAGGCCGCAGTTTGTGCACATATATATATTGGGCCTGAGGTCGTAGTTTAATATTCAGATAAACAGGTTGTTCATCATTCAGAAGAGGGAGTATTCATATCCTTACTTCCTTTATTCAGTTCAGTTATCAGTTATCAGTTATCTTTTCAGTTATCAGTTCAGTTATCAGTTATCAGTTATTTTTTGAGCTATCAGTTCAGTTATCAGTTATTATTTATCTTTTCAGTTATCAATTATCAATTCTCAGTTACCAGCATAGTTTCAGTTTCAGCATATATAATTCTTTCTTTCAGTTGCTTTACATACCAGTACAATTCAAATATACTGACGTCCCTTTTGCCCAGGGCCTGCATCTCACGATGCAGGTAATGATTTTCAGGTTGACGATCCAGAGTGCTAGGATTCTCGTACCAGCTATTTGGTGATCCCCAATTCTTTCGGGGCATTATCATTGCTTTACAGTCTTTCAGTGTTTACAGATATACAGTGTTTTCAGTACTTCAATAGAGGCTTCATAGACTAGAGTAACAGTTAGACAGAGTCTCAGACTTTTCATGTTAAGCCATGTTAACTACAAATATGTTCCAAAATTGTATTAGTATTTCCGCACTTTGATTTATATCATCCAGACTTTCAGTATATCAGCATGTGTTAGTTTATCTTCCGTATTCAGTATGTTATGATATCACATGTTGATTCAGCCAGCCAGTTGGTTCGTTCGGTCACATGTAGTCAGGCACCGAGTGCCGTGTTACGTCCAGGCCCAGGTTCGGGGCGTGAAAAATATGTTCCAAAATTATATTAGTATTTCCGCACTTTGATTTATATTATCCAGACTTTCAGTATATCAGCATGTATTAGTTTATCTTCCGTATTCAGTATGTTATGATATCACATGTTGATTCAGCCAGCCAGTTGGTTCGCTCGGTCACATGTAGTCAGGCACCGAGTGCCGTGTTACGTCCAGGCCCAGATTCGGCGCGTGACAATAATAATATTTTATAGTTATAAATAACTAGAAGTTTACTTGATGGAAGGAAACTATTGATTATGAGTCTCTAGGACAATCGTATTTATGAAGAAGTCTCTAGGATTTTTTCCTAATAATCCCTAACCTACCTATGTGACTCCATCTGTCTTGCATCCTACATAGCCACATGCTAGAAGGCTCCTTAGATTTTCTGTCAAAGTTTTCAAAGCTAATCCTTATAACACTTGAACAACTATGATTATTTAATCTCTACATATTTAACTTAATTGTGTAAACAAAATTTAAGGGGCACGAGGTTAAGATTATTTTAAGGTTCTCCTTCTTGGAACCAAATTAGTTGTAGAATCAATATTGCCTCTTAAAAGATTTCAAAAGTGAAACACGATATTTTTTTTAAGGTTACAAAAAAGTAGAGATGGGAGAACAAATAAAGAATAAGCGGAAAACAAACAAATAATTTACTTAGAGATTCTTTTACAAAGTGGTGATCATACGCAGAGTCGGACCTTCCCTAAATCAAGTAAAACAATTGCTTTAGGCTCTATATTTGTGGGTGCCCCATTTTCTGTTACACCTAATAGGTTATATATAGGTTTAAAAGAAAGATTTGTGAAGCGAAAATGTTTGATTTCTTTCTTTAACAAATATAAAGAAAAAAGATTTGTAATTGCTATGATTTCTGCCAAGGAAATCGCATTTAAAATGAATATCGAACCTGAATTTCATAAGAAACGTGTGAATATATAGGAAGAAACAGATAAAGAAATTTCAAAATCTCTTGAAGAGTCATCTAGAGTTGATTACTTTTTATACCTAGTAGACAAAGCTATTTTTTCACTTCAAAATAGATTTGAACAATTCGAAGCTAATAAAAATATTTCCGATTTTCTATTTAGCGGTAAAAAACTGAGATCACTAGGTGATAAAAACTTAAAAAAATATTGCATTAATCTTTAATGTTCCTTAACGCATAACAATCAATCCGATATTAATGATTTAGATTTATTTTCTGAATTAAAAGTATTAAGGAAAAAAGGACAATTAGAAGTTAGATTTAATTAAAATACTCAATCAAACAAAATGATTTGGTTCTTGCCTATATACACTACTAGAAATCGGGGCAAAACGTCCAAAAAAATCGACCAAAGTTGGTCGGTAATGGCCAATAACCGTCCAAAACGCGACCATTTTTGCGTGGACGGTATTTTGAAGGTCGGAAGGGCATACCGACCAACATTGGTTGGTCAACTAAATTCAAAAAAAAAAAAAAAAATTGCCGAAAAAACCGACGAAAGTTGGTCGGTATTTTAATTATGTAATTAAAAAATGCACCTATGGGAAATCACTCACCCGACCAACCCTTGCGGATTCCGAATGCCTATAATGCTTATACAATAATGTTACTAACTCATGTTATCGTTGTTTCAGCGGAAAGAAGTTTTTCAAAATTAAAATTGCTTAAAATTTTACCTAAGAACAATAATTTCGCAAGAAAAGTAAAATGGATTAGCTATATTGTCAATTGAAAAAGACTTTTTAATAACTTTGCATCTAAAAAAAAGCTAGAAAGATAGATTTCAAATAAAAAAAAATTTTAAAAAAAGTTAGGACTCCTTATAATAGTGTTTGGCTTTAGGCCACAAAATTGATCAAGCTACCCCACAAATCTTTCCATTTTCCAAGTCTATCCAACCAGTATAATAACAACACGCAATTAAAATGTACGATCCCAATGTATAAGGAAAGTAATATCACAGCAGAAAACCTTTTGGAAAAAAAAAATTTCCCCTTATTTTTTTATTTTCTTTTTTGCTCCGTTGATGCAAAAAGCAATTTACTTTGACAGTACGAGTAGGACTTGCCGAAAGCAATGAAGAATACTCGAAAAAGTGGACCATTTTTATTTTCCTTTCCCAACTTGAAGCAAATGGAGCAACACCGCAGTAATGTCCAAAGCCAAAAGCATCAGTTTGTCTTACACACACGTTGAGATAATATATTCTGTGTACTCTTTCCAATATGAAGTATATATACTACTCCCTCCGTTTCATATTGTTTGAGGTAGTTTGATTCGGCACGGAATTTAAGAAAAAAAGAAGAAGACTTTTGAAAGTTGTGGTCTTAAAAGCTTAAGGGATAAAAGGTTTGTGGGGCCATGCCATTTGTGTGGCTATAAAAGCTTCTCATTAAGGGCAAAAAGGGTAAAATAAAGAGTTTAAAGTTGAATTATTTCCAAATTTAGAAATGTGTCATTTATTTTGGAACAGACTAAAAAGGAAAGTACCTCATTTAATATGAAACGGAGGGAGTACATGGTAGTGCAGATATTGGAATAAGTTCCCAAAATTAATGCCGCTGGCAAAGTTGATTAGTGGACTAATTAACCTATTGCCAACAAAGTTGACTAGAGGTAATCTGGGGTTTTGCATAAGCATGGGCTAGCGTGGGCATAGCCTTAAGCTTTACTGATGCATTTTAAAAATGTGTAGATCGATCTATGATCGAATTGAACATGAGTATACTTTTAAGCTGAGCTGTTACAATTAACTTTGTGAAATGCGTGGTGAATGGTTATAATAGAGTGATAGTGGAATCAGATTCATTACTCTTGGTGAAAGTATTGACAAAGCAATGGGATGCTACTTTAAATTATCTCTGGTGCTTGGTATACTGAATATGGTCAACAATTACAAATTTCATTTATTTACATCTATATAGGGAGAGGGGAATACATTGGCGTACTATTGGCGGATTTTGACTAAGGCTTGACTAAGAAAAAAAATCTTTTTTTCTTTTTAACGAGTCAAACATGTGGAATCTATTTTTACTTTTTGGGTAGCAATGAGATTTAAACTCAAATTTCTGTCTGATCTAATATCATATTGAACTATATTAGTTTAAACCGTAAAAAAGAACACACTTATATCTTTACGTTCTCAATTAGTGCAGACAAGTCAAGTAACCCTTGCAAACGATTGGAATAAGAAGTGAGCACGGGCTTGTTTTAAGCTTAGCTTAGATGTGAGGATTTTTTTTTTTTAATTTTTTTTTTATGTTTTCTCTCCGTTCATATCCTAATTAACTAGTATTAGAAGAGATGCAATGTGCGATTAATATTAACGGAAACTAATTATATATAGCAATTGTTATCTTCCTTGTTTGAACGAATTGAAATCTAATTGTTTCAATAAACTGCATTTGTCATTTTACTTCTCACCATAATGCACCAAAGAACCAAAAATTTATGAAACTAATTAAAGAAAACAAATCATGTGGTCAGCGAAGAACATTTGTATGAAACAAAAACATTATAATAAATTTGTGATACAAACATCTTGAATAATATGATTTAGAATAAACAATGATACATAATAAATGAGGATAAAATATATTTAATAATTTTGTAAATTACATTTCAGCCAATTACAGACCAAGTTGCCTTTTGATCAAAGCCGATTATAAATTATTTTATTTTTTCCCATTTACTTTTTTCAAAGTGCTATTATTACATCACCTATATAATATGGGTACGGCTTGTTTTCATGTAGGAATTAGGATTTTTTATTTAATATTTTTTTAAATTATGTGTAGGGAAGGATTCTCCGTTCATATCCTAATGCCTGCATATGATGTCGATTCTTCACCCCAAAAAAGGGTTTCTGAGAAGAAATCTATCCAAAAGTAATAGTAATATAATGTTAGTAATAACTTGTTTCAGTTGAGGAAACAAATGGTAATGCATTCTTTGAACTAGGGCAAATACAACACATTTTCGCAGACAAACTATCTAATAAGAGATCACTAATGAAGATCAAATAACATTACACATAATCACAACCACTTACATATTACATTTGTAGACAACAACTTCGTCGACCAAGAAAATGATCTTAATTATTTCTTTGTTCCTAGTTAATAATACTAATTAATGGCGATCTTTGAAATGGAGGGTTTTAATTTAATTAGGCATGTAAGGCTTGAGGAGTTGAATGAGAGAGCCTTTAAGGTGGAGTGACATGACTTCATTGGTAGAACCAACCAATTTCCCACCAATGAAAACTGCTGGCACAGAAGCATTGCAACCCATCCTCAATAATGCCTTTTCCATTTCCTTTCCCTCTGGATCATGATCTATTTCATGAACATATGGACTTACTCCAAGCTGATCCTGGAATAAGATTGTCACTGCATAGCACAAGCAACATGTACTCTTGCTGAAGATTACTACTCCGTGTTCTGTTGCCAATCGTCGTACTTTGTCCATTGATGACCTGATGATAGGAGTACAAGAAGCAACTAGCTAGCAAGAAATTAAAGAGCTGGAGAAATAAAAGGGTTTATTTATTTTCCAAACTCAGAGCTAGCTAGCTGGTTGCTTGAAAATGGGGGTAATCATGGTGAGTCTATTTATATTTAAAGAAAAGATACGGCAATAAGCCTAGACCAGAAAAAGAACATTCAAAAGATTGTGAGCTTTATTTAGATGCTCCCGAAAACTGGACTGCAATTGAGCAAAAGTAACTTTTTTAAAAATTGATACTCACTATTTCGTTCCACACAATGAGCAAGTTGGACGATACATATATTCTGTGTGGTCATGCACGTTTTTCGAATAAAATATTTGGTGGGGCCAAAGGCTATTGTTATTCGAGTCCGGAACCTTTTTATTATCTTTTTGGACAAATGTGACGTTAATAAGTGTAAAAACAAAAAAAAAAGAAGATACATTTCTATATATAACGCCGAAATTGGAGGCGCTATACCTTAACGGTAACTTTTGCCGTTAAGGTATAGCGCAAAGAATAATGGCGATATACCTTTTGGCGCGGGAAATCTGTGCGCTATACTCTGACGACTTGACTGTCAGGTATAGCGTTTGGAATTAAAACGCTATACATATATAGCGCCTGGAATTAAAACGCTATAGTTGCTTATGGGCCCACCAATAATTTAACTGACATAACAATAATTCAAATGTGTATAGCGCACCTTCAAAGAGCGCTATACATCAAAAATTCAGCCCCCCCCCCCACCCCCCGGGCTAGCCATTTCCTATATAAAGGGGTTAAGATTTTAGGAAAATCCATTCACAAAAAATTCTAACTCCCGTTCAAACTTTTCTTCTTGTTAAATTCTCAAGCATTTTTTCATAATGTCTGAAGAGCGTAGAATAAGAGTTTCATTATATTGGGGGGGAGGGGGGTGAGGTTGTGATGGAGAATAACTCTGTGAGTTACAGTTTATCTACCACAGTGTCATGTTAAATTACCACTTACAATGGAGTACGATAAATTGATATCGTTAGTTATGACAAAAAAAATGAGTGTAGAGAAAACGTTCAGTGATAC